CTATATCTATATCTATCAGCATACACTATCTACAACTGCAAGAGTAATTTTCCCAATATGTATATTTATATATTTAAATATTTTTTAGTTTCTATTTTCAGTCTGTATGCAGAACAGATCATCCGAGATGCTGGGCTATATGAAGAGGAATGTGGCATCAGCATTGGTGGAAGAATCGTCAACAACATGCATTATGCAGATGACACAACTCTGCTTGCTGAAACTGAGGAGGACCTGAAGCGCTTGCTGCAGAAGATCAAGGACTGCAGCCTCCTATATGGACTGAAGCGCAACATCAAGAAAACAAAGATTCTAACCACTGGGCCAATTGGCAGCGTCAGTATGGATGCTGAAGAGATTGAAATCGTTAACAGTTTTAATTTACTTGGCTCCACAGTCAACACTCTTGGTAACAGCAGCCAGGAAATCAAGAGACGAATTGCACTGGGAAAGTCGGCTGTGAGGGACCTCTCAAGAGTACTGAAGAGCAACGATGTCAGACTGGAGACTAAGGTGCACCTGATTCAGGCCATAGTCTTTGCAATTACGTGCTATGCATCAGAGAGTTGGACAGTGAATAGGGTTGATAGAAAGAGAATTGGTGCCTTTGAGCTGTGGTTCTGTGCTGGAGAAGAGTGTTGAATATACCATGGACGGCTAGGAGAACAGATTTTTCCTGGAGAGGGTGAAGCCAGAATGTTCCCTGGAGTCAAAGATTCTGAAGCTTCGTCTGACATATTTTGGGCATGTTGCAAGGAGGGACTGGTCCTTGGAGAGGGATATCATGTTTGGCAGAGTAGAGGGGCGGTGAAGGAGAGGAAGACCTTTGATGAGATGGATCGATTCTGTGACTGGAGAGGTGGGAATAAGTGCAATTGAGATGGCTAGGTTGGAACAGGATAGAAGAGCATATAGAGCTCTTGTACATAGGGTTGATATGAGTCGCAAGCGACTTGATGGCACATAACAACAACAACAACAACAACAACAACATTGAAGATCAACATCAAGAAAACAAAGATTCTTACCACTGGACCAACTGACAGTATCATGATAGATGAAGAAGAGATCAAGATTGTTAAGAATTTTGGCTTGCTGGGTTCCCCAACCATGCCTCTTGGCATCAGCAGTCAGGAAATCAAAAGACAAATTGCATTAGGGAAATCTGTTGTCAGAGACCTCTGTAGAGTGCTGAAGAGCAAAGATATTAGTCTAGAGACTGAGGTGCACCTGATCCAGGCCGTAGTCTTTGCAATTACTTGCTATGCATCAAAGACCCGGACCAAGGATGACAGAAGAAGAATTGATGTCTTTGAGTTATGGTGCTAAAGAAGAGTATTGAACATACTATGGACTTCCAAGAGAACTAATATGCCTGTCCTATTGAGGGTGAAAACAAGCTGCTCCTTAGAGGCAAGGATTTTGAGACACCATCTCACATTTTGGACTTTTGAGACACCATCTCACATTTTGGATATGTAGCCAGGATCAGCCAGTCTTTGGAGAAGGATATCATATTTGGAAGGTGGAGGGACAGCACAGGAGAGGAAGACCCTGGATGAGACGGTTTGATACATGTCAGAGACAATGAGATTGGCTTAGAATTTAGTAATGCTCAGAATTATTGTGTACAGGGCCACTGTGAGTTGTAGTTGACTCAACTCAGCACCTACCAACAACATGACACTTCCCAGTTATTTACAGGATCCAAAGACACAGACAGGAGGAATTAGGCTGATGGAGAGAGGAATCATTTCTGTTAGAGTTGAAAGAGTGGTATAGCAGTTTAGAAAAGCTGGACATTTTGGACAGTCTTAACCTCTACCTCAAAAGAACCAGTTTTATACCAAGCCTTTTAAAAGAGACTATTTATGTAAACATGAAATTCAGATTACAACACAACATAAAGAAAATAAACATTGTAGTAACCGGACTAATAAAGTACATCAAGATAAGAAACTTTTAAGTTGTCAAAAAGTTCATTTTACTTGGATTAAACAATCAGCACCCATGGTAAAGATAGTAAAAAACAATAGTTTCATATTGTATTGGGTAAAATTGCTTCCTAGAACCTTTTTAAAGTATAAAACATAAAGATGTTGCTTTAAACACTAAGGTGTTCCATATGCTTTTGAAAGTTGTGTAATGAATAAGGAAGAACAAAGAAGAATAAATACCCTTGCATTATGGTGGTGGCAAAGAATACTGAATATACTATTGCAAAAGGAGCAGATGTGAATGGCTTGAGAAATTACGGAACGTTTATACAAAGGAATATTATGCAGCATGCAGAAGCAATGGCTTTGTAAATTCTTACCTAACTTGGGAGGAACTGGAGAGCATTATGCTGAGTGAACTAACTCCCACAAGTACAAATATTGTATAAAACATTCATTGTAGAATGAGTATATATAAACAGATCCAAGGTGTGGGAGGGTGGATGCAGAGGGATGAGAATCTGCAGGGGGATGGGAGATTAATTATGGGCTGGTACAATTTGTTGGGTGGTGAGGGAAATTGGAAGAATCTGTTCTGGAAAACAATGTATTTGAATTTTATAAATAAACTAGCATAATAAAAAAAGTAAAAATAAAAAAGAAGAAAAATAGGAGTCGATGCAGTGTAGGGGAGCAGATGCAATGTAGGGGTGGTTGTGTTTGACTTCTGCCTGCTTTGTAAAGGAGAACTGTCTCCATCAATATTATGCATAGCAGCAAACAGATAGCTGCTAGGTCAGACACACTATCCACGTCTCCATGCTCCTGAACCTATTTCCACCAACCTCTGGGTTGGATATTTGTTGTTGACCACAGTGTGGTACTATGAGTCAGATTTATTACAGAAATAAGTTGGGAAGTGGGAGAGGCAAAGAATATCTCACAATTCAAGTCCAGATTTAGCCCCACAGTCCCAAACCAGATTAACAGCAAAATACAATTCCTTAACTAGTAAAAGTCCTGGTTTCAGTTCAGCAGCACAAATTCAAGAAGCCTCTGCTTTCCCCAGTCATCCAGCAGTTTTCCTCATAGTGGCTATAAATCAGCTACTACTTCAGTCATCTGGCAAGCACAGTAAAACTTTTAACCATGGCCTTTATTTCAGGACCCCTCTGGTTGCCACAGTTTTGCCATAGCAATGTCAAAGTCTCTCCACCACCATCACCAAGGTCTCACCAACAATGTCTTGCGCTCATAAGGGTCTTGCTCTCACCAAGGTCTTGTTCCAGGCTACCTCAAGTCTTGCTGCTCAATATGGGAAGCACTCTCTCTTATCCTAGGCCCACAGCTGTTGATGATTTGCAAGACTATGTGTTTGCAGTTAAGGTAGTTGGAGAACAGATGGGGTAAATGTAACAGTTGAAAAAAAATAACTTTTAAACTAACATCACAACCATGGATTGCCAAAGAACAAATAAATCTGTCTTGGAAATGCAGATGAGACTTCATCTCTCACACTATGGCGTTATTATCCAGAAAGGTGAGTCCTTGACAAAAGGACATCTTGGAAAAGTCTCAGAGAAAAGGTCTTTCAACATGATAGATTGACACAGTGACTGAAACAATCTGCTTAAGAAACAGTCTGGTTAAGCACAGCAGGCAGTGTGAGGATGGCACAGAATCATGGACGGCTTCATTCTGTTGCTGAACGTATGTGGGAAAATATATTCCTAAGTACAACAATGTGTCATTTCTCTATTTAATTGTTGTATTAATTTCTTGAGTAAAATAGTATAAAGATCTTAATTTAGAAGTCTTTGAGCAAAAATATACCAGATCTGAACTTTTCAGTCACATATACAATCGTGATTTTTTTCTTAGTACAGCAATTCCCAAACAGTATCCCAGTTCCCAAACTCTCCCAATCTCTGCCCAGGACAACAGCACAGCATCAGATAGATAAAAGGAATGTATTTTGGGCTTGTTATCAGAAATGACTACTCTCTGGGAAAATGCATTGTTTGACAAAATATAAGGTTCTTAAAAAAAGGGTCAAACCCTCAATGAGAAGGACATAGTAACTGACTGAAATGATGGGTTTAAGCACAGCAAAGAGAGTGGGGATGATATAGGATGTGGCAGAATTTATTTCCACTGTGTTTGCTCTAAGTCAGAGTTGACTTAACAGCAACTAAAAATCACCTTTTTAATCACATTGGTTGCATTTCTTAGACTAGTCTAGTTAATGTACAAAATAAGAAATAGTACAAAGTTGGGGTAGAGAGAAGTTTTACTCAACAAAATAAGCTCCCACCTTTCATAAAAAAAGAAGAAACTGTGTCTGAATCTTTGGTCCATTTCCCATTGAGCTTGTTTGTTATTTTTTTAAAAAAATATATTGATAGTCTTACAAAGTACGTATACATTGTTTCTCATGCTATTCTTCATTCACATTATATTTCATACAATCATTCCCATTCATCAGGTTATAAAATTAGTCTCCATTGAACCATGCCCATAATTACCCTGTCTTTTTAGGTTCCTGCTGAATCCTTCTCATTTCCTTCACCCCCTACTTCTACCCACCAAATTTGCAACCCTTTGGTTTTGCCCCAACCCATCCTCATGCCTCTGCTCCCACTCCTTCCACTCCTTTGGGTCTCCATACATGTTTTATTAGTTATCGTTCTATTTTTACAATAATGGCCTTATGCAGTATTTGTTCTTCTGAGACCAAATTAGTTCACTCAACACAATGCTTCCCAATCTCTCCCAAGTCACGTAGTATTTTTTAAAATAGTTGTTCCTGAGTGCTGCATAGTATTCCATCGTGTGAATATACCACAATTTCCCATTTTATCCATTTGTGATTGGACATTTGGGCTGCTTATATATTCTTGAGATGGTGAATAATGCTGCTGTGACTACAACATTTTACCTCTAACACACCATCAACCTTACTGAAATGTACCTTCTCACATCTATTAGATTTTTGCCTTCCTCCACAAAGTATTGAAGTCAAAGTATTTAAAAGAATCCTTCTGAGCCAACTTCATTCAAATTTCAAGTTCTCTTGTGGAACAAGAACCCAAATCTATTGATTGCTTCTCTCAAAGCTTCCTTTACCTTTTCATTCCTCAAACTATAAATAAAAGGATTCAGCAGAGGTGTAACCATTGTGACGAGAACGGCAGTAACTTTGTCAAAATCCAGCGAATGGCTCTGGCTGGGCCTCACATACATGAAGATATTACTCCCATAAGCAATGGAGAGGATGGTGATGTGAGAAGCACAGGTGGAAAAGGCCTTCTGACGTCCTTGGGCTGAGGGGATGCGTAAGATGGTGGTGATGATGTAGGTGTAAGACACAGTGGTGAGCATTAGCGAGGTCAGGATGATGAGGGAAGATAAGAGGAAGTTTATCTTCTCAATGAAATGAGTATCAATACAGGCCACCTGTAACAGAGGGGCAATGTCACAGAAGAAATGTCTAATTTCTTTATAACAGAAAGGTAACCTGGACACCACGATAGTGGGACACAGCACTGACAGGAAGGCTCCCACCCAGCAGCTTAGAACCATCAGAAGGCAGACTCTACTGTTCATGATGATGGCGTATCGCAGGGGGTTACAGATGGCCACATAGCAGTCAAAGGACATAACAACCAAAAGGATGAACTCTACTGTCCCCAGGAAGAAGTAGAAATATGTTTGAGTGATGCACCCAGCAAAGGATATAGTCTTCTTTTCTTCTATGAGACAGGATAACAGCTTTGGAGTAATTGAAGTAGTATATAGAATATCCAAAACTGACAAATTGCTGAGAAAGAAGTACATTGGGGTTTGGAAGCGAGTATCAATCCATATTAGAGAAATGATGACAATATTTCCTGTCAGAGTAAGCATGTAAATAAACAAGAGAACCACAAAGAGGGAAATCTGAAGCTTCTGGAGAGCAGGGAAAGCAGTCAGTATAAATTCAGTTACTGTGGTCTGATTTTGCATATCCATTGCAGGCAATAGAGGGTAGCAGGTTTCTGAAGAAAAAAAAAGTTATAAAGAGCTGAAAATCAAGCTTAATACATTTTTAGCTACCAATACTCAATGAAAGAGTAAAGTAGAAAAAACTTTGCATAGTAGTCAAGAATGATAGTTCAGTCCCTAATAATAATTTCAGATAAATTACTTCTAATTGCAGTATACTCATATTTAAATTTTTCATCCACTGAAATGATCTTAGTAGTCCCCATAATTTTTTATAATTTTGTTCTTTTTTATACAATGCTCTAATGTTCCCCAGATAAATTTTGTGATTAAGAAGAGAAATATTGCTACTGAAGAAAGGGAGAAAGGGAATATTGATAAAAATTGAGTTATTTTTCTCAATTATTCTCAATTATCTCAAAGTTCAGGATATTGTTTTAGGTTAACTACAACATAGCTGCCACATTAAGACTTCTAGTTTTTGGTATTTTTTTCCAATTATTAATGGTGTGACTCTCCATGAAATTGCATAAAATCTTGTTTTAAGGTTTTAATCTCAAAAATGAGGCTGAATGGAAAAGAACAATTTGTAATCTGGTTTCGCCATTTCCAACTTTGAGATTTTTAAATAAATTTTTTAGCCTGTACCTGTCCAAAACAAAGAAAAGTGAAGAAAAGAAAAGATGCATGGAAATAATCAGTCCAAAGAACTAGTGGGTCAGGGGAAAGTCAACGTCTATGTCCATGAGACCTGGCTACCGCTGCTGAGCTCTCTCAGAGGGATTCCCAGTCAAAGACATTGGATAGAGTAGGGGGAGAAATTGCAATAAAACTGAAAATCATAAATAAGTCAGGCTTATTGATCCAAGAGAGACTGATAGCACTTCTGAGACTATGATTTCTCAGTCGCTCCTTGAAACTGGAAGAAAATTCACTCCCTGTGACTCTACTTTCACCCAAATATTAGACAGGCCTACAAAGATGACCAGTAACACAATGGAGGCACTCACCCCTTCGAATATCCAACCACATAAGGGCAAAAGAGTAGCACTTGTTTAAAGAAGGCAAGAAGGGGTAGAACAAAATGACTGAAGGAAGTGAGAATTACACTGTGAAAGTAGGAAAGGTGTGATTATATTGGCTGTATTATAATTAATGCTACAAAACAAAACATGCATAAAAGATTAGATGAGAAACAAACTGGTCTGCAACTTTTTACTTAAATAGAATTAAAAAAACCAAGTTGTGTCAAGTTATCTGGGGACAGCTGATCCATATTTATTCCCATTCCAAAAAAAGATGATCCAAAAGAATGTGGAAATTATTGAACAATATCTCCAGCATGAGGATTATCCAAAAACGACTGGAACACATTGACTGAGAACTACCAGATATGTAAGCTGGGTTTAGAAGAGGCCATGACACTAGGGACATTGTAGCCAACGTCAGATGGGTCTTGGCTGAGAGCAGAAAATAGCAGAGAGTAGCTATTTGTGTTTCATTGATCATGCATGTGAAGACTTTTGACTGTGTGGATCCAAGAAATTTTGGATAATCTTGAGAAGAATGGGAATCCCAGAACACTTGATTGTGCTCATGCGAAACCTATACTTGGACCAGGATGCGGATCTCGAACACAGCTAGGAAACACTACATGTTTCAAAAGCTAGAAAGGAGTGTGTCAAGGATGTATCCTGTCTCCTTACCTTTCAGTCTATATGCAGACCAGACCGTCCGGGAGCCTGGACTTTATGAGGACTTTATGTGGCTTCAGAATTGGAGGAAGACTCATCAATAGCCTGTGTTATGCAGATGACATAACTTTGCTTGCTGAAACTGAGGGGGATCAGAAGTGCTTGCTGCCAAAGGTCAAGGAGTTCAGACTTGGAGTGAAGCACAATGTCAAGAAAACAAAGATTTTCACCATTTGGTCAATTGGCAGCACCATGATAAATGGAGAAGAGATTAAGAATGTTAACAATTTCAGCTTGCTTGTTTCCAAAATCAACACTCTTGGCACCAATAGCCAGGAAATCAAAAGAAAAGTTGCATTGGGAAAATCAACTGTCAGGGACCTCTCCAGAGTTCTAGAGAGCAACAATGTCAGTCAAGAGACTAAGGTGTACCTGATCCAGGCCATAGTCCTCACAATTATTTGCTACGCATCAGAAAGCTGGACAATGACTAAGGACGGAAGAAAGATTGATGTCTTTGAGTTGTGGTGCTGGAGAAGGGTTGAACATTCCAGGAACTGCCAAAAGAACAACCGAGTCTTTCTTGGAGAGGGTTGCTCCAAGTTGCTCCTTGGAGGCAAATATTTTGAAGCTCCATCTCACATGCTTTGAGTATGTGGCCAGAAGGAGCCAGTTGTTGCTTGGAAAGGTGAGGAACAGCGCGAAAGATAAAGACCTTGGGGAGATGGATTGACATAGTAATTGAGTTAATGGAGGTAAATGTGTTGGAGACAGGGAGTTTGGCTCAGGATAGAGCAGGCTTCAGAGCTATTGTACCTAGGGTTGATATGAATCATAGCTGATATGATGGTATAACAATAACTAGTTAGGATTCTTCAAGATTAATGCAATACTTACCACAGAGACTTATAGCTCACTAAAGCTCAATGAATAATTTGTTAAGAACATAGGTAGGTTTGGTGCAGGATAAATAAAAATGGAATAAGATATGAAAGTCAAGTTAGTAATAATCTGAGGTATTTATAGCCACATAATAGAATAAATATCACTGAATTGTGAAAAAGTTTTATTGTAAATAAAATTCATTAGAAAAATTTTATTTTATATTTATGGAAAAACTATAGCACTTGATATCAAGCCTCACTAAATCTGACAGAACAAGAATTTCACATTAATTTATAAAATACATATGGAAGCAAAATAGACTGTTATTTATATATATATAATGCAGGATTTTATACTTACATTATGCTGATTTGCAGGACAATATGTGCTTTCTTCATTCAAATACTTTAGGAAACTAAAAACTTGGGTTTTTTTCCTACTGTGTTTCATGCATTGTTCTTTAGATCCTTTTATTGTTAAAATTTCGAGTTTCCTATAAATCTCATAATCTTTTACCGTTTTTCATATGACTTTTAAAATGGCAGCAAATATTTAATTTTTAATTTAATAATAAATTATTTTCTTTCTTTGAATGCAAACTGTCTTTGTAATCTCTGATTAGTTCTTCTCGCTCTTTTTCTTAGTGCCATAGAAAAGGATACGGCTAGACTTACCTTAAGAAAAGCCCATTGATTACATTTTGATCTTTTATACAACCAGTGTGTTTTAACTGTAGAGAGTTTTGCGTTTTAAATAGAATACATTTTTGATGAAATGACACAGAATGATTAGATTTGGTGATGAATATTGAAATCAGATAGAAGTAAACTTAGTTCAGTTTGTCTAATACTGAGATGAAAAGGACTGAAAATTTTCCAACTCATATTTTTTTCAATTGTAGGAACGTGCTTTTCTCTCTCTTCAGTCAGTCCCTATTTCTTCTATAGAGTGTCTAGAGAATATATTGAAATTGTTTGATTCTCAGATTTGAAGAGAAGTTACAGAGCATATGAGCCAACCTGATCCTTAAAAATTCTCCAGTGTTTTCAGCAAGTTGTGATGCTAAACTCATTAATTCTTGGGGCACCTTATTGTTCTTTTTACTTTTATACCCGTTTGTTAGAAAAATTACCATTTCCACTGACTTAAAATATTTCCCTAAACATTCAAAATTTTGCTGGTAACTTCCTGCTAATTTGACAGCCACATGCTGACTTGAATTGAGAGAACTTATTTTCTTTCTTTAGAAAATACTGTCTTTTTTATATTAAAGTAATTACAATTGGATAAACTGAGATAGGTATTGATTTTTTTTTAACCTTTAGAGATTTGGTTTAGAATGACACTTGGGACTATGGCCAAAAAAAGGTTAATTATTATTACAATCAAAGAATGTTAGAATTGAAGTAACTAATCACAGCAACAAAGTTTACGACTCCTGGGATATTCTTAGAGGTGTTTTATTTATTGGAAGAGAAACTTAGACAATGGCCTCAGGGAAATGGAGACTTGAAAAACTTTTTAAATTTGATTTTTCTGATATATGCATGTTCTATCAGAATTGCTCTACAGCCTCAGAATGTTTTTCCTCTCTCTGTATGTGTGTGTGTGTGTGTGTGTTTTAAAAGTCCATTTTATTAAAATCTAATTTATACATAAAGGCCTAGTGATTAAGGAGTTTCACTGCCAACCCAAAGGAAAGTGGCTTCAGCCCACTAGCTACACTGCGAGAGAAAAATGGGCAGTCTGTTTTCATGTGATTTATAGCATGTGATAACTTCCTGGAGGGTTAGTTGTTAGTCACTTTTGACTCTGCAGCACATAACTGCAGCAATAATCTATATATACACTAAGCAATATCATTTTTTAATATTTTATTGTCATTTGAGTGAAAGTTTACAAGGCACTTAGTTTTCCATTCAGTCATTCAAGCAGATTGTTTAAATGGCATTACAGTTCCGTCACTGCAACAACACAGTTCACAATTCTCTGCTTCTTGTTTTCTTTCACTCTTCTATCCTATGCCATGGCAGATGAAGAAAATATTGAAATTGTCAACAATTTCATTTTACTTAGATCCATGGTAACAGCAGCGAAGAAATAAAAAGATGTGTTGCTTTGGGAAAATCTGCTGTCGAGGATCTTTCCAAGGAGCTAAAGAGCAAAATATCAGTTTAAAGACTAAGGTGCATCCAATCAAAGCTATAGTCTTTTCAATTTCTTTGTAGGCACCTGAAAGTTAGACAATAAAAAAAAAGAATAGCAGAAAAAGAATTGATATCTTAGATTTGGAGTTTTGGAGAATAGTATTGGATATACTATGGACTACCAAGTGAACAAACACATCTATCTTGGGAGAAATGCAACCAGGGGTGCTGCTTAGAGTCAAGGATAGGGAAACTTCATCTCACATACTTTGGGCATTCATGTTGTCAGGAGTCG